GCAATAGGAGGTTGTGAGAACACATTATAGCAGAATAACTCAGTCTTTGTCACAAGTCATAGCAGCTCTGGGACACTAACCTTTAGTATGTGGCTGTCCTGGATGAGGGGTCTCGTGCACTGGATCTCCCCGTGGGGAAAGCTCTCTATAACTAGGTGAGCCACCGCTGCTTTGCTCGGATGCTCTGAGAATCAGCATCGCTGGTATTTTTCTATGTTGTTGTCCTCTAAAGATTTATTTGCATTAGAGTACAAAGGGCTTTCCCCAGACAGGGCTCGTGTCCAGTCCTCTGGACTCCAGTTCTATGCTGCTAAAAGTAAATATACCAGGCTGTCCCATGAGCTTGGAAAGATGTACCATGACATTCTCTATGCCGAGGAATACATGTGTTACAAACATGGATCCTCTGAAGTCAATTTAAAAAAATTCACAGGGGCCTACAAAGAGATGAAAATGATTGTGTGCATTGTACTCCATGGCTTCAGTACCAAGAATCTCTTTTTCTATTTTTTTCCCAAATACATTTGAAAATAAGTTGGGCATATGGGCACACAGAAGCATCATGTTCTGAGTAGGTAGAAATGCCATTTTTGCATGCTCAACTGTGCCTCTAAAAACTTCTGTACAGAAGCAGATCATTGTGTAATTCATGAGCATCATGCCAAGGCCCCAACCAGACAGCCACTGTGGACTCACAAGGAGGCAGCATCCTTGGTGTCTCCCCCTGGATGCTGTCCTCTGGCTCCTCCTGCCTGAGCCCACTTGCAGTCAAGCTCTGATCCTCTAAGCTGTCCTCAGCCTTTACCAGCCCTCAGGCTGCTCTGAGAAAAGACTCCTAGGAGAGGATAAACACACACTTCCTTAGCCACTTGCCCAAGTCCTGGAATTCAGACATCCTTGCCTTCTAAGCAATGACAATGGAAAGGGGAAGCTCACGAAATGTTAAAGGGACCAAAACTATCAAGGACATGCTTAAGAGTTTTATAAATTAGCCTATTACTTTTTATCCTTGATGATGAATTTCTAAAACTCATATTTGCCTTGATAATAGTTTATTACTGTCAGTTTACTTTTACCTGATCAGAACAACCTTACTAATTTTATTGAAACAGAAGTTGGTGTGATTCTTTAAAGAATAATGTCATCTTAGGTCTCATGGCAACACAGCTGTTTAATTAGAGAAAACAAAAACTTTTAATATTTTCCTATCATTATTCCTCAGTATGTATCAAATTATTCTATATTGAATTCTGTTCAATTTTTTTATTTTTAAAGTTGCTGCTTGAATTGCTCACTTGAGACTAATATAAAAAATAATTCAATGAATTATGGCTTGGGATTAGACAGATTTTCCAACAATTTGAGAAATGTCTCTAAATATACTTCTGCTACTTGGTACTATGCATTTATTTGAATTGGCATTCTCAACAGTGACAATTATAAAATCAAAATATCAGTAACTCTGAAAAGCAGCAAAGATGGTCTGCATCCTGCAATGTCATTCAGCCAAGCTTTAACTCTCTGTAAAAATAAATAAGCGCTCCATCTCATTAGCATGCAAATTTACTTTCATCTTTGATAAATGCTAAAATTATATGCATACCAAAGAATAATTTTAAATAAGTTTTTATGACTACCAGTAAATGTTTTTGTAGACCCATTTTATACACCTATTCAAAGACACACACATGCACACAGCCAAGACCCTGCATGGAGCTCAGTGTTCCAGGAAGTCAGCTACTTGGGAACTGCAGACTGTAAGTGGCGACCCCATCCCAGACACCACGCGGTCACAAAAAGAGATAGCAGACCCTACAGTTCTGCTACCTAAAGGCTACCTAAGGCAAACAGCTACCTCACCCATTCTGCCCTGGTGGAACCCCTTCTCCCTCCAGTACCCTTCACTACAGAACCCTCAGCTTGGAGCATGGAACTTGAACTCTGGTCAGCGTGTTTCCAAGTCCTGTGCCCTGATCATGGTGTGGCCAGGTAATCTAAAGTTCCTTTTTATATTTCTTCCTACAGACTTAATCCTTACATACTCCTCCACCTCGTGAGTTTCAGAAGGCCCAGCACAAGGCAGCTGTCTGCTGTGTCATCTCGGGTCATTCCAACCTGCACAGGACAGCAACTTCTAGGCCACTTGCAAGATAGGTGCGAATGTCAAGGTCTGGAACGACTCAACCCAAGTAGCAGTGACAATCAGTGGATCTTTAAAATAAAAGACACACTAATTTTTTATATTTATTTATTTTTGACTATGGGGTGGACTACCATGAAGCTTGTGTGAAGGTCAAAAGTCAACTTATGGGAGTCAGTTCCTCCAACAGAACCACATCTACTCCAACAAGGCTACACCTTCATTAGTGCCACTCCCCTTGGGGGGTGATTTTCTTTCAAACCACCCCAGGGTCATTAAAAAGTGAGCAGTAAATTGTACCTCCAATAAAAAAGATGTGTTTATATGCCTACTATAGTTTAGATTTTTAAATATGCTAATATAGGTATAGAAAATAACATTAGAAAAATCATTACAACCATATTTAACCAGAAAATACATAATGGGTAACAAATCTGTGATGTTTATTACAAGTTTTTATTGTAGTTTATCTACTATTACCTGAGGATTTTTTTTCCTAAAACATTTCATTTATATATAACTCGTTATTCCTCAGTTTCATTTTGTTGTTGAAGAGATTTTTCTATAACAAAGTACAAAAAGGCATTCTGAGGGAAACATTTTAAATAAAATTATTTATGCAAAAAGATTATTTTTATATTTACTAGTCTATTGAAATGCTTCTTTTCAATCCAATTCTTTTCATTTTCACATAATGCACATCAGGACAGCTCCCAGGAACAATAACTACAAGCAAAACCTTTTCCTGCCTGTCTTCATCTAGTCTACTCTTCCATCTTCTATTGTGTGAAAGTTTGAGTCCTTTCTATTCAAGGCCCTTGAGTTCACTACTTCTGACGAGAATTCTCTTCTGACGCCCACAGTTAGATCACCCTTTTTGAATAATGCCTTCATTTCAGATGCAGCCTTGTACTCTTCTTTGCCTTCTAAATATTTTTGTGTATGTATGTACATGTTTGTGTGTAGGTGCATGTGTCTGCAAGTTCACATGCATGTACACACACACACACACACACACACACACACACACACACACAGTGTGGAGACCACAGGCAACCCTGAATGTTGTTCCTCAGACAATTTTACCATTCCTACACTGTTTTTCCACAGGTAGAATTATTCCCTGGACTGGAATTTATTAAGTAGTATAGGCTATGTGGCCAGTGAGCTCCAGGATCCACATGTTTCTGACTCCTCAGCCCTGGGTTCACACATGTGTTCCAGCATACCTGTACTTTTACATGGATTCCAGGGATCAAACTCTGGCCCTCAAGTGCACACTTTACCAAATGGTCCCATTCCGTGTCCTCTTCTGTCCTCACGTGAGCACTTTACTGAATGAGCCAAATCCCCAGTCCTCTTCTGTATACATCTTTCTTTTATTATTCTATACAGTTTGCAATCTTGCTTTGAGACTGTAGCCTCTGACTTTTCTCTAGAGAGCATTGGTAGATGGGGATTCCTACACTGAACTAAAGAACTAGGTAAAACCCATGATGTACAACCCCGTTCCACAGTGTTGGAGGTGAAGCTGGGCTTCAAGTCCATTCCTGCATAGTCCTACAGCTTCTCAAAGCAATGCGTGTGACAACTGAGGGCATCTGGATATAGGTTGAGTGGGGAGAAGAAAAACTAGGCTTTTTCCCCTCTTTTCTCCCAGCAACACACTTCTGAGGCCAAAGGGACCCTGTGGTGCCAGTGCTCAGCGCTAGGTCTCCCTTGCCAAACAGGTTTACACTTCTGAGGCAAAACTGAAATTCTTCTTACTTCATTTTCTTTTGTCTTTCCCACAAACATGAGTGTGAAGACTTAACTGTTGGAATCACTGTTGGAATAGGGCTTCCATCCACACAGATGTGCATGTGATTAAGATGAGGCTATGGACACCAGTATTTCACCTAAACCTTTTATTTTATTTTATTCTTGTACTGGGGATTGAATCTGTCTTAGGTAGGGTTTCCATTGCTGGGAAGAGACACGATGACCACAGCAACTCTTATAAAAGAAAGCATTTTGTAGCTTGAGTTTTCCTGCCTGGCCCACAGTCAGGACAAATCTCTCTCACCTGCCAGTCCCACAGCCGCTAAAACCCAACCAAGTAAACACAGAGACTTATATTGGTTACAAACTGTATGGCCTTGGCAGGCTTCTTGCTAACTGTTCTTACAGCTTAAATTAATCCATTTCCATTAATCTATACCTTGCCACATGGCTCGTGGCTTACCAGCATCTTCACATGCTGTTTGTCATCATGGCGGCTGGCAGTGTCTCTCTGACTCAGCCTTCCACTTCCTAGCTCTATTCTCCTCCTTGTCCCGCCTATACTTCCTGCCTGGCCACGGGCCAATCAGTGATTTATTTATTGACCAATCAGCAACACATTTGACATACAGACCATCCCACAGCACTTCCCCTTTTCTTTTCTTAAAAAGGAAGGTTTTAACCTTTACACATCTCCAAAGTCAGCTTGGTATATTTGGGAATTTGGGCGTAGCTTCTCTTACTACTTCCTGCTGGAGGGGGACGCTGTATCTTATGGGGACACAAAGAATATTTTAAGATTATGGAGTAGTCCGTGAGGCTGTATCGTCTGAGCCAGTTGCCTTGAAACCATTCTGGATGTTGGATCATCTGGGCCTTGGTGTCACCTTTCTGGGGGTCTTGACTGGTCAAACCTGATGTATCTTAATCTGGAACAAATCCATAGCCTCTGGCTTTCTGTGGGAACAAAAGCAGAGCCTCCTTTCCAAAGCAACATATCCTTACATCCAAATTTTGAAGTCAAGGTACCTTTAAAATATACATTTTGGCATAACTCAACAGCTTTTGCAATCAAATGTTTTTCTTCAGTTACGAATATCAAAGAGAACATAATCCAGATTCTCTGTGTGGTAGCCATCTTTACGTGGCTTATTTTTTTATATTAGCTTGAGCCTATTGCTTTAAACTGCAGCATTCTAAGCCTGAAAGGGCACTGGCGCTGTGGCTGCTGGCTCCGCCCACTTCAGCTTCCCAACATGGTGGTGATATGTTTTCTGCCAGCTCTGGGAGCCATCAACTGTCAGAAATAGTGGGTCCATGCTTCTATCAAAGCAGCGTGCAGCCCAGAAACCTCTTTTTTTTTTTTTTGTACTAGCAAAGGCTAAATCCACCACACAGCTTAATGTGCCACTTGCAGAGGCCTCATTCCCGCCATACTGCAGGTCGAGCATGCACACACACTAGGAACCCGCCAGTAGCTCAAACCCGCAGCTGCCGTTCATTTGAGAGAGACAATTAGGAACTGTTTTTAGCTCCATTTTAGAATCTTTTTTTCTCAGTTTTTAGGTGGAAACTCTTGCCACCACGTTGGACGCCAGCATTTGATTGGGGCTGGCTTACAGTTCAGAGGTTTAGTCCATTATTGTCACAGCAGGAAGCATGGTGGCAAGCAGGCAGACATGGTGCTGGAGAGGCAGCTGAGAGTCCTACATCTGGATCCACAGGCTGCAGGGAGAGAGACACTGGGCCTGGCTTAAACATCTGAAACCTCAAAGCCCACCCCCAGTGACACACTTCCTTCAATAAGGCCATGCCTGCTGTGGATATCGTTCTGTATAAATAAAACACTGATTGGCCAGTGGTGAGGCAGGAAGTATAGGCAGGACTAACAGAGAGGAGAAAGGAGAGAACAGGAAGGCGGAGAGAGACACTGCCAGCCGCTGCCATAACAAGGAGCATGTGAAGATTTCGGTAAGCCACGTGGCAAGGTATAGATTTATGGAAATGGATTAATTTAAGCTATAAGAACAGTTAGCAAGAAGCCTGCCATGGCCATACAGTTTGTAAGCAATATAAGTCTCTGTGTTTACTTTATTGGTGCATCTTAAGCATGAGCAGCTGGGGGACTGGTGGTAGACAGAGATTTGTCCTGACTGTGGCCAAGGCAGGAAAATTCTAGCTACACATGCCTACTCTGACAAGGCCACAAGGCTTAATAGTGCCACTCCCTATAAGCTTATGGAGGCCATTTTCAGTCAAACCACCACAGAACCTAAGTCTTTTTACTCTGCATGCTAAGTTGATGTCCTACCACTGAGCCATATTAACTCTTTTTCATCTTAGTTTAAAAACAGACCCTTATTAAGTTTCCCAGCCTGGCCTTGAACTCATCATGTAGCCTAGGCAAGCCTTGAATTTTGACCACTGTTGCATTAGAAATCCTGGGATTAGTCATGAAACATGACAGAGCAGGCAAACATACTGGATGCTGTCCTCAATCACACAATCTGGAGTAAATCTACATTTTAAGGAGAAGTTGTTTTAGTGTGCTTTACTTATTTATAAATGAAAAAACAATTAAATTTGCTTCCCTTACCTTGATCTGCATCCTGCTTTCTTCTTTGTTTCCATCTTCCTTAGAACTCATCCGGGCAGTCCTGGGCCACCTCCTTCAGATCAGGGCTCTGGATTAACTGAAGCCTCAATGCAGGTGGTACTTCCAGGTCAAAGCTGGACGGGCTACCCACCACAAATCAGGGCTCTGGATTAACTCTCCTTAATCTTTGACTAGCCCACTCCCTTTTCTCCATTTTTCTTGACTTCAATGAATTCGTATATAAATTATATATAATATTATCAGGCTCTGGAAACTATTTCTGTAATTTTAATTCTTTATCTATTATATGACATTTTATTGTTTATTTATAGTTTTTCTCATCTGATGTTCTCTTATTTGGATTAATTACAACTATTTCAAATGTAATTGACAGTATGCTTATCTCTCCCGCTAGAATAAAGCTCTTTAGGTCAACTGTTTACTGTTGTATCCTGAGAACACAGAAAACTAGAGCAAATGCCCAATTAATACAATACTGTTGCACTGCACTGGGAATGTTTACGGGATGAAAATGCCCTCAAACACTTGCTAAACACAACTCTGTGGTGTCACAAATGAGGTGTTTGCTTACTTGTACCTGAATCCCAGACACCCCCAGCCTGGTGGTCTTTCCATCCTGATGAGAAGAAGAGAGCCATGTATCTAGTTCTGGATAACCATGGGCAGAGGCCAAAACTCTGCTGTTAATGGCCAATCCTGGCTCACTCCAGCTTCCTCGGCAATGATGGAGGGAAACTGCTGGGTATACCAACAGCACTGCCTGTCCCTCTGCTGTGGGAATTGAATCACACTGAAGTTCTGTTTCCCTCAGAACCTCGAGCTCAGATTCGCCAGGCTTCCCCTTTTCTCCCTTAACCATTGAGCCTTCTCTTTCCGAAATGATCTCCTCAAAGTTGCCTTTTTGAAACATTTATTTCTTCACCCAATAGATTTCTTTTGCAGACTCACTACATACTGTGTGAGTAGTCTCAGAAAAAGTCAGTCACCCATCTCCTTCATAATCACCAGCAACATTTCCCAGAAGCCCAACGGCCTTTCATGTTCTTCATGTTCTCCCTGTTCTGATTCATGATACACCAGGCTTTAGTAGGGAACAAAAGGAGTCAGGGTTCAGCGATTAAGAAGCACTAGTTAAGTCACAAATGCCCATTACAAACGTGTTTATATTAAATTCTGTGCATATTTGCTTCTTGCTGAACTCACGAAGCCAGAAAACACAGTACATTTCCTATTTTATTCCACCCTTTTCAACGTTTTTTACAGATAGAACGGAGCCGTTTCCATGGTAACACAAGTGTGACAATTGAGGGTATCTGGATATAGGTGAGATATCTCCCTTCAGATCCAGTGCGGAGAAGAGAAATTAAGTTTTCATTTTTTCCTTTTTCTCCCAGCAACACACTTCTGAGGGGTCCTGTGGTGCCAGTGCTCAGCGCTAGGTCTCCACTGCCAAGCAGGTTTACACTTCTGAGGCAAAACTGAATTTCCTCTTACCCGCGTTTTCTTTTGTCTTTCCCACAAGCACGAGAGTGAAGACTTAACTGTTGGAATCACTGTTGGAATAGGGCTTCCATCGACATAGATGTACATGTGACTAAGGTGAGGATATGGACACCAATATCTCACCTTGTACTGGGGGGTTGAACTAAGGCCCTCTGCTCTGCATGCAAAGCATGTGTCTTCCCACAGAGTCCTATTCTCAACCCTTTTTAATCTTAGTGTATAAATAAGCCCTTACTAAGTTTCCAATCCTGGCCTTGAACTCACCACGTAGCCTAGGCAAGCCTTGGATTTTGAATTTTTGCATTTAGAAGTCCCTGTAACTGGGATTACAGCTATGCAGCACCACACTCCACCCTGACATCCTTCTTATTATCGTAGCAACTCTGCTTTCAACCAGTGTTCCACAAGTCACCACAAATCAGGACTGTGTCATCATCCAACCCACAATAGGTAAGAAAATACATTCCTGCCCACAGCTTTTGTTTTGTGTTGGTGGAAAAAAAAAAGACTTTCATGAAGTGAAAAACTGAGGCCCATCAGTCTGTAAACAAACGAACTGCAGCTACACCACAGGCTGTATTCTTTATACACGATCAAAATGAAACATCAGGGAGAACAGCCCGAGAAGCTCTTATTCCCAGCTATGCTAGGTGATGTGACTGGGATCCACTCAGGACTTTGTGATAATTTTTATCACATTTCCTTTAATTCACAGTCTCCCAACTCTAGGGGGAACTAGGAATCAGAAAAAGACTTGCTTAAGGTTATCCCCTGAACCCCAAATCCTAATACAAGCCCACACCCCAAACCACTGGCACTATGTAGATTTCCAGCTCCACCATATTGCATGGTACTAGAAAGATCGACTATGATAGTTACCTTCAGTTGCCAACTAGACTGGATCAAAGAGCACCTATAGCACCTGAGGACACTTCTGGGCATGTCCGTGAGGGCTATGCCACAGAGGATTAACTGAGGGCAGGGAAGAACAACCTTGATTGTACTTGCTGCCATCCTACTAGCTAAGGTACTGGACTGATTAAAAAGGGAAAGAGGACTGAGCCAGAACTCTGTTCCCTGCTTTCAGACCCTCAGAGACATAGGTAAGCGGCCTCCTGCTCTGACCACAGGAAGCCATTCCAACCATGACAGACTAAATCCCACGAGCCAGGAGTGAAAATAAGCTGCTTTTCCTCCTGTAAGCTGGTTTTGTCAAGTATTTGGTCACAGCAGTGAGAAAAGCAACCAACACAGGCTGTTATATCCACAAAGAAAATGTGGCACTTCTTGGCTCTATTTAGTCCCCAATGTACCTGGAAATGTCATCATCCAAACACATAGTTTGAATTGTACCAGGAGCATTCTGCTTTCCTCAGAAAACCATAGCTGCTACTGAGCTGAAGTAATCACAGCCAAGTCTACTAGTCTTTAGAAAATTAGACTTCTAAAATCCAGCTCTAGCACTACCTGTATAAACCTCTTGAAACATTACTGCCAAAGTCATTCAGACATGAAGCACCTGGGCATGCTCTCTCAATTTTAGTTCACTTCCTTACATGACTAGCTTAAAATGGAAGAGGAAACCCTCTTGAGTTTCACCTCCCAGAAAATATTCCTGATGCTTCCTCATAATTTTTCTTCACTGCCCATCTCTGGCTAAGATTCAACTTCTTAAATCTTCATAGTACAGAATCAAGAAGTAATGACCGACCTATGTAGGCCAAAATAATGACTGAGCTATATCAGCAACCCGCTGTATTCCTGCACTCAACCCACAATAGTCTGAAAACATTGGAGAATGGTGTTCTGTACTGAGCATATGTTTGTTATGTGATTCATGTCCCCCTCCCAAATACTATACAATAACTATTTGCCTAACATTTACAATATATTAGGTATTGCAAGGAATCTAGAGATAACTGGTATAGAGGAGGATGTGTAGGCTAAATCCAAATATGGCATTTCATGTGAGGGATTTAGGCATGGGCAGGTTTTTGGTCTGGGAGGTGTCCTGGAACCAAACCTCCGTGGATATGAAAGAAGGAGAGACAGTAGTTCACATTTTCAGTTTGACAGGGCAGTTGCTCTAAATTGTTTTCAATGAAAATCTGTAGTTACATTGGAGCTAGATGATTCAAGCATACGGAATGTTTTTTAAATGTTCAGAAACAGGCAGCCGGGGACTCCTGTATTAGAATACATATTTGTACTCTGACAAGTGACAGAAAGATGGCAAAGAATGCTTTGCTGTTAGAGGAACTCGGACCCAGAGCCACTCTACAATGACCTTGGGGGAACGGTGGAAGGGTTCACTGAGCTGACAGGACTGGAAAAATATAGCATTCTTAAGAAATGTGAGGCAGTAATGGCCCGGGGTCGTCATTTCAAGGGCATAGTTTAATGAAGATAAATGGCAATGACCAGTTATTGCAAGTTGAAGGGTCAAACTTCTCATAAATTATGGCTGGGAGAGTATGACGAAGATTCAGTGGTCAGAGACACGCTGTTTTAAAACCGAGTGAGAAAATACACATTTTAGGAGGCACCTATGGAGGACCACAGCAAAGGATGCACGATGGACGCCTCCTGGGGGGCCGGAAAATTTCTCACCCTGAAGACAAAAGTCCCTGTTTTCTCGATTCAGCCCACGATGCAGCCCGCCTCCTTCGCCACCACCTCCATGCCCACCTCCAGGCAGAACGCGACGGGGGCGACGTTAAAACGGAACCCATCCCTCCGCCCTGCAACCACCCGGCTCCTTCCCCCGCAGCACGGCCGGGCCGGGCCTTCCACCCCCGCCCCTCCCAGTGCCCGCAGCCGGGCACCGCCTCCACCCCGCTGGGAGGCCAGGCACCGGCAGAGCTCTGATTGGCTCAGCCTAAGCCTACTGGTCTACGATTGGTTACTAGAGCGCGCGCAAGCGCACACGCCCAGGCCCGCCATGCTCCGGGAGGGGCGCTGGCTCAGTCTAGGACTGGGTTTTAACCCGATTGGTTCACAAGATGAGACGCCTTTCTATTGGTCAAGAGTGGCACTCTAGCGTCCACAAACGTGACCTGATTGGCTGCAGTGAATCCAACCTTCCGCGTAGACTGTCCCTCAGGCTGTTGCTGAGGTGTTCTGAGGTCTCCTGACCGCGACTGGCGCATCCGCGCTCCAGGTTTTCCAGGCGCCCGTGGCTGCCTGTCAAGGTGTGGGAGGAGCTCGGCTTATGTCAATCACGGATGAGGGCGGGACTAGAGGGTGGTGGGTGGGACCTTGCGACGTCATCGGGCGTAGACCGGGTTTGCGTGTTGCCTGGGCGCCGCCAACTCGCCCGAGTCGCGCCGAGCTTCCATTGGCTTGTGTAACTTCAGGCAGCGGCCGCGAGGCTGTCGTCGCCCTCAGGGCTCACGTCGTCCCGCTTCACAAGATAAAACCAAGCTCTCCTAATGCTGACAGGCGGGGTGCTGTCGGCCAGAGGCCGGCCGGTGGTGGGGTCCCCAAACACCGTGTACACGTCTTCCTGTCCCCACGGCCCCTCCACCTTCACCTCGCCGGCCAAGTCCGAGCGTGGGAGTCTGACGTCGCCCGCCTAGGGGGCGGGGAAAAGAGCGCGCAGGCGCAGCGCGAAGGCCTGTGGGGCTGGGTGTTGCCAGGCGTCTGCGGAACCTGCTGATTTAAACGCGGCGCAGGCGGCGGTGCCGCGCGGGACCTCGCGGAAGCGCGCGGCCGGTCGCTAGGCGACGGCGGGAGAGGCGGGGCTTCGTCTAAGCCCGCCCCATCCGGCTGGCCCCGCCCCCGGCAGCTCTGCGGCTCGGGCTCGGGCGCGCGCTCCAGCGCCGGGGAAGCGGCGGCGGCGGCGGCGGCGGCGGGAGCTGGGCGTGGAGGCGCGAGGGGCGGGGCGGGGCGGGCGGCACTGCGGGCCCGCGGCTCGGGCGGCTCCGGCTCGGGCTCGCGCTCCGTCGCTGCCGGCGCCCTCGGGGCTGTGTCGCCGCCCGGCTTGGCCCCGCTCACAGGGCCGTGCGGCTCGCTCAGCTGCCGCCCCGCCGCCGGCACCCAGGGCGCTGGCGCGGCCGTGAGCCGGCGGGGCCGCGAGGGCGGCGGAGCCGCGGGGTCGGGGCGCGGCGCGCGGGCGCAGGTCTATGTCGCGGGCAGCGGCGGCGGCGGCGGCCGCGCAGGGACGATGCGCGAGTACAAAGTGGTGGTGCTGGGCTCGGGCGGGGTAGGCAAATCCGCCCTGACCGTGCAATTCGTGACCGGCACCTTCATCGAGAAATACGACCCCACCATCGAGGACTTCTACCGCAAGGAGATCGAGGTGGACTCGTCGCCGTCGGTGCTGGAGATCCTGGACACGGCGGGCACCGAGCAGTTCGCGTCCATGCGGGACCTGTACATCAAGAACGGCCAGGGCTTCATCCTGGTCTACAGCCTGGTCAACCAGCAGAGCTTCCAGGACATCAAGCCCATGCGGGACCAGATCATCCGCGTGAAGCGGTGAGCAGATCGGGGCACGCGGGGGCTCGGCGGCTGCGGCGATCCCCGGCCCCGGCCCGCCCGGGATGCACCACCTCCTCCTGGGGCTCAGATTTGCGGGCTTTGTTTCACAACTAAAATTGGGCATCCCGTTAAAACCCAGCTCAGCCCTTTGTCTCTAGGACATTGGTAGCGCTTGTTCTGTACCCCGGAGAAAACAAAGTTTCAAACTTGCAAGGAGAGAAGGGATGAGTAGGTGGGCGCTAGGAAAAGGGAAGCTAAGTGTAGGCGCGCCTGTGCAGAGTGAGCGCGCGCCCAAATCCACCCTCATGAGGTTTGACAGCCAAAACTTGCACACACGTATTCTGTGACAATGTCAATATGAGTTAAGAGGGCCTTTCTCATCGCGGAAAAGATTAAATGTTGCCAAGAGGTTGGCAGAAATGAATTAGTGCAAAACTTTAAAGAAACATTGTCAAGTAATTTGAAGATCTCACAACATTCATCAGGGTTGACATATAGAAGCTCGCTTATGACATTTACATTGAAATAACGCAGCTTCCTCTCTCTCTCTGTCTCTCCCCCCCTCCCTCCCCCCTACCTCTACTCACTCACTCACTCACTCACTCATAAAATCTACCCTCTTCCCACCCCCCCTCCCGCTCAAAAAAGGAAGGAGACTATTCTTGGAAACCAGACAGAAGTTTAGTGTAAGCTGTAGCTTATGTATCAGCTAATTTAAAGTTAATGGGGGGTGGAGGAGTTGATGCAAGCAAGCTTTTCCGCGTGTAAACTGTTCAAAGAATGCATTTTGGATGTGGCTGGTAGTCTGAATGCTTTCAATGTTTTCTCTTAAGTTGATGCCATGTATTTCCCCCTTAACTTAAATATTGGAAATCTAACTTGTTATTGGGGAGTTTGGGCAATATTTTCTAGTTCCTCTTAACTAATAACTTTCTTTTCTGATCCTTATAAACTAATACTACTGATAATCTTTCAGGATTCTTCTAGTTGTAGCTAAATCTGAAGTCACTATTGAAAGTTGAAGTAGATACAATGGCATTTATCAGTTGGTTAGGATGTGCTCATTTCCGAGCCCAGAGTAATTTATTTGTATTCAGGGAATACTCAAAAACTCATTCCAAGTGGTGGGGTTTTAACCCTGTATGTGAAGTCAAAGGACATCCTCCCTCCTCATTGCCCCTCCCAGCTACTTGAGTATGCATGTTAATAACCATACTAAAAATTTCTACATTCTTGTGTTCAATTCCAAATTAGAGAACAGTGGATATTTTTATGATTTCTTCCCAAAGTTGGTGACTCTTACAGCTTCAACTTCTCTAGTCTTATTTTTTAGAGATTCATTTTCATGCATGGTATATGCATGTGGGCACACATATGTGGGTGTATTAATGTGTTTCCTTGACGTTGTTTGTAGATACAAATAATGATCTAAGTGCCCCAGCTGTCCGGCCTTCACACCTCAATTCATACACATCTGTGCAGGAATGACTCCTTAACACAAGAGTATGTTGAAATACTGGATGGGATGATCTACGTCATGTTGTGTTTTCTGTGCAGCTCAGTTATGATAATGGATTAATTGGTTTATTGCAGCAATTAATTTGGTTGGCACCTCAACCCAGGACAATAGACTAGGGTTCTACTCACCCGGACTCCCTAGTTTCAACTCCTGATGTAAGAAGACCGTTGATGAACTGAACTAGAGTTGAGCAGCGTTCCCCACTGGGAAACATAGATAATGGTGTCATGAGAGCCCCTTGACCCCACTGCCTTTTTGTGTGTGTGTGTGTTTTTGGAGACGGGGTCTCTCTATGTTGACTTGGCTGTCCTGGATGGAATTCATCATGTAGACCAGTGACCTCGAAGTCACAGAGATTCTCCTGCCTCTGCCAGTGTAATACTGAGCTCAAAGTGCCTATGTTAGGCTTGGGCACCTACTTCTAGGTCCTGTGTTTTGTGCCTCACCCTGACTTCATTATTTGCCTCTGGGTCCATGGCATCTTATCAACATAAGTCTAAACAGAGAGAGGGTGAGCTGTAGGTTGTTCCTATTATACTTCAGTATATAAGGCCAACCTAAATGGGAAGTTGGAGGCACCTAACTCCCTTACAAGACAGTAAAACATGATTTTGAAATAGTAAGTGGATTTTCTACTCTTTGGAGGACCAGTTTTTAACTAAGCAGTTGCTGTAGGAACTCTGCAGTGATCCCTTCCTCCCTGTGCTCACTGTGTGTCATCTGTCTGCTTTACATGCTGTCAGTGGCAGTCTGGGGTTGTTTCAAGTGCCAGGCTGCAATTGACATAACTGGAATGCAGAGACTTGATACCTTGCCCATGACCAGTCACTGATAGGAGGACTTTTAATATCTCTTTGAATCCATAGAGCCTCTTCTACACAGGTCTGTCATTCAGCTTGTCTGCTGGCATATTCAACCTCCATCTTGCATGCTAGGGCTACACTGTTGGATAGAAAAAGTGTGAACCACATAGATTAGTAGAAAATTTGTGGTATTTGATTTTTAAAATGAACATAAAAATAGTAATTTCATTGTACATTTCTTTAACCAACTTAATATAAAATATTGTCATTTCAGTATGCCGTTCAGCATTAGAAATATTCAGATATTTTACTTTTCTATTCTGTGTCTTAGAAATCTGTTGTGACTTACCACTCTTCAAGTGCTTGTTAGCCGTAGGCCACCATGTTGGACTGCACAGCTCTCAGACGTATATGGGTCAGGGAATTCCTTACTTAGGCTGTAGACCTGAGTTTCCTTTTCTGTGAAATGGGACATAGCATGCTCCTCTCAGAGTCACTAGGATTCCATGACACCCTATGTACTAAGGTACCCAGCACGATCCTCGGGACAGACGTTACTAAAAGTGCTGTCCTTCTTGTAACTTGTCACTCGGACTTCCTTTGGCTTTACCCTTGATACATAATTGCAGTTTTGGAGGAAATAACTCATGTTTATAATCACAGTTTGAAATAAACGGTGAGACTAAGGAGCAATGTAAATTAGTCGTGGGAAAGTATTTTGTTTGTTTTGTAAACTATGTTCCCTTATGGGAGACCTTACGGAAAAAAGACAGGAGAATGAACATTTGACTCGTTTCAGGTGGAGCATGACAACAGAGAAATGGAGCTTTTCGTTTTATTGATACTTTCTGGACTGTTTCATTTTTGAAAATACTAAAATTGGCCCTTATCTCTTTCATTGTTATGACTGTGTGCATACACACGTTTGTGTGTGCATTCGTGTAGAGCCGGAGTTTGACATGGGTCTTATTCATTTGTTCTGCACCTCATTTAAAAAATGCTTTTGTTATTACACATGTGTGTGTGGAGGCCGTGACACATGTGCTGTGATACACATGTGGAAGTCAGAAGACAGCTCTCCTCCCACCTGTTGGTGGGTTCAGGGATCCAACTCAAGTTGCCGGACTTGTGCAGCAGGCACCTTTACCCATGGAGCCGTTGTCTTAGTCACTGTTCTGTCCTGTGAAGAGACACCATGACCCAGGCAACTCTCAGAAAAGAAAACATTTAACTGGGAACTTGCTTAAAGTTTCAGAGGCTTAGTCCGTTCCTCTCCGAGTGGGGAGCATGGTACAGACACAGCACTGGTGTAGCTGAGAGCTACCTCTTCATCCACAGGCAGAGAGGGGCAGCCTGGACCTGCCATGGGCTTTTGAAACCTCAAAGCCCAGTGACACACTGCCTCCTACAAGGCCACACCTCCTAATCCTTTCAAATAGTGTCACTCCCTGGTAACTAAGCATTCAGATGTAGGAGCCTACAGGGCCATTCTTTTTCAAACCACCACAGCCATCTGCCTTTTTAAAAAATGTATTTATTTTTGTGTGTATGAATGTTTGCCAGCAAATACGTATGTGCACCACATGCATGCTATTCGGTCTCCTGGGGAACTGTAGTTACAGATGGTTGTGAGCTGCATGTTGGTGCTGGGAACCAAACTCAGTTCTGCAAGAGCCACAAGAGCTCTTCATCTCTAAGCCCTCTTTCCTTCCCTCTGCCTTGATGATTCAGCTGGACAGACTGGACAGCTCAGGATCTTCCCATTTCTGCCTTCTCAAATCCTGGTTTAGAGATGTGTGCTGCTTTATGTTGATTCTAGGTTCTGAGCTTAGGTCCTAATGCTTAGGGCAAACACTGTCTCCACAGCTACTCATGGTCTCTTAATTGTACATATGCACGCACGCGCGCGCACACACACACACACACACACACACACACACACAACTTCTTTTCAAAGCGAAGTGAACCATCTGAAAATTTGCCTTATGGATAATTCATAAGCTTTCTTTTTCTTCTTCAAGTTTGGATCAGACCAAAAAAAAAGAGTGGTAAGCACATATATTTTAATAAAACCAGAATTCTGATTTCATCATTTTCTGTTCATACCCATTCTAGGGTTAGTTGTGGTCCTGACTTGAAGTATCTTGGGACATACTGTTCCCACATCTTAGGATAAAACCCCCAGACTTTGAGCATGACCTTCAAGTCCAAGCATGTTCTGGTCCCTCCTTGGCTGTACAGATATCCTCTCTACCAGCATCTTCACCTTCTTTTAGCTGCCTGGAAAGCTTTTTCTCTGGGTTCTTCTTCTGCCTTAGAACCTGTTTGTCTTTCTACAGAATTAACTTCTACTCATTCTTTTGTCCCTCCTTAAAAGACTTTCCCTAACTTAGAGAAGCCTTTTTCCTCTTACCAAACTGAATGACCGCCTGTGTGGTTTTCTCCTGTAGACCACCCTCACCCCGGGCTCCCGTCAGTAGTCTCTTTACCCCGTTCATGTTTTGTAGTACTCATGAGCACTATTTGTCACTGGGATGACTTGCAAGCATTCTCACTGAGCTCTAAGCCTGGGTGTCTAGCACAACAACCAGCCTACAGGAAACAATAAAAATATGACGAAAGGAATGTTCAGAAAGGAAAGCATTTGGACTCAGTTTCCCCAGGCATTTTAGTGT